ACAGAAGGCTCTTACCTTCGTTCCGAACTGAGTGACCGGCTGTGAGCTATCTATTAACCCTCAAAAGACGGAGCTAGTCATTTTCAGTACGAATTATAAGATTCCGGGCGTGACTTCTTCGAAACTTGTCGGAATCCGCCTATCATTTAGCAGGGAGGCTGGATTGAGCTGGAGGCCTAACATCATGGAGAGAGTAAAGAAAGGAACTATTGCCCTTTACTCGTGGAAGAGGGCTATTGGGAAGGGGTGGGGCCTGAAACTTAGCATGGTTTATTGGTTGTATACCGCGGTGGTGAGACAGATCCTGATATACACAGTTCCAGAACGGTCCTAGATTTAGGCCGTTTCTTAACGAGATGGCGGGGTAGTTCGAGTTAGACTTAGTTTGGGTTCCAGTGCGATCTCGGGGAATCGCAACGCGGATGAGCCTGCGAGACATAGAACGACCCTCGGAATTTTACCTGGAAAGGAGAACCTGTGCATGCCTCTAAGCACTCACAGGTTCTCGCGGTGGAACGTACCACTCTCAGATGGGCTAATGGAACTACGTGTAACGCGGCAAGGAAGTTGTGGCCAAAGCTAGACTTGCGCCGCACGAGGGATCTAATAACTCTTCGACAGGAGGATATTGGCGCGATGATAGTGGTTTTAACTCGACATTGTTTGATTGGCGAACATGCCAGGAGGATGGACCAACCCGCAAATTACCTCTGTACAAGCTGCTGTGACGAGGAGGAGGAGGAGACGGTGACAAACCTGTTTCCGGTGACTGCTCATTTCCGGCGTTGGCGAACTCCAGGCGGAGGTTTCTTGGGTCCTACTTTTTTGGGCAGGTTACTGACCTACCGAATGTAAATGCCAGATCCTCCCACTCTCATAGCCCCTGTGATGCAGACGCATGCAAGTCTCTGCACTCATTCCAGGTTCTTTCTAGCCGTACCAAGAGCCACCCTTCTGACCCATGCCACTGCTCTATAAGTTAGGAGCGGTACGACCATTATGGCAAACATCTACATCATGACAGATGGAGCCAGCCCCACAACCTGCCCGTGATGGCCCTGCAAACCATAAGTGCCCGGGTTGCCCGTGTACACACAGCCCCTCGTGACTTCGCCAAAGAAGCTTGGAATCAAGCACCACTCCTAAGTATTTGACCTCCGCTCCGCACACGTATATTGTGCGCAGATGCTCCAGCTTCCTTCTCCTAGTGAAAGGCACCAGGGCCGTCTTGTTAGGGTTAAGCCTGAGGCCCACAGTATCGCACCAGACCCGGGCCGCCCGTAATCCCTTTGGGCTATATCACAAAGAGTTCCCTCAAACTTACCTTTAGCGATGATGACTATATCATCGGCATAAGCCTGGAAACCCATTCCCTGACGAAGCAGCCCATCAAGGAGTTCATCCACCACCAAACTCCACATTAGCGGGGACAGAACTCCACCCTCTGGGCATCCCCTGGTCAAGCGCATCCTTAGAGTGCTCTGCCTCACAGCAGTCTCGGCAACTCTCGTAGCCAACATATTGGACATCCATAGAAAGGTGACATCAGCCACGTCCCTACGCCTGAGGGCGCCCGCAATCGCCTCATGAGAAGTGTTGTCGAAGGCCCCCTCGATATCCAGGAACGCGCATGGCGCCACCTCTCGCTGTTCTATTGTGCTTTCTAGGGTACTGGCAAGGCGAAACAGAGCGGTCTCTGTCGACCTCCCTGCCCGATACGCATGCTGGCAATCGCTCAGCGGGCTGCTCGCCAGCACCCCCACCCCGACGTGGTTATCAACTATTTTCTCCATCGTCTTGAATAAGAGCGAAGTGAGGTTAATCGGTCTGAGTAAGTTGAACACTATGTCCCTTCTTCCCACTTTGGCAATAAAGACAACCCTAGCCGGCCGCCAGGACTCGGGAATGTATCCGAGAGCCGAAATAATTTTATTAAGAAAGGCGTAATTGGCTCCAGTCTTCTTGCAAAAGTGCTGGTGAAATGCCATCCACTCCCGACGCCTTGAGCGGCTGGAAAGTGCCAACAACCAACCTTATCCTTTAATCCGTAACTATGCGCGCAGCTCTCCGCCAATCCACAGGACGTAGTGTCCTGCATTCCCACGCCATGGATCCGACATACGGAGTATTGCCGGGGAAATGCGCTTCCACTAGGAGAAGAGCCCTTTGCTCCTCGTTCTTCGTGTAGCCGCCATCCGGCCTCCCTAAAGAAGCAGTCAGTGGCACCCTGTCTCTAGCCAGGGCCCTATGCAGCCTCGCAGCTGCCGGCGTCTCCGCTTTGTTCCCGCAGAATGATCTAAAGCTTCTGCGCATAGCCCTGCGGATCTACTTGCTGAAGGATGTCAAGTTCATCTTGTACTCTTCCCAAGTACCTTCTCGCTTAGCTTTATTGAAAAGCCTGCTAACCCCGACCCTCAGATTTTCCAATCGCGGGGTCCACCAAGGTGCATCTGTGAAATCCCTTGGCACACTAATGGGGCAGTTCGATTCAAAAGCCTCGACCATAATTCCCCCGAGCTCCTCCACAGCCCCTCCAACACCAGGGGATGCCTGGCCACAGTTCTAACCGAGGCTCGCGACAGTTTTGTCTCCAGGTCCCTCTGTATCCCTCCCAGTTTGTCCGTCTCGGATTTCTGAAGGAAAATTTCTCCTTCATCAACCCAGCCAGACAAAACTGAATGATTCTATGATCTGACATAGAAACTTCCTCCGATACCTTCCAGTCGCGTACCAGAAACCCCACATTCGGACTGCCGAATATAATATCCAGTACCTCCTCTATAACCCTAGTTACAAAAGTTGGGGCATTTCCTACATTAAATATTTCTAGGTTTTCTTTAACTACAAATTCTAATAAGGGCTCACCTCTAGTATTGGTGTCGTTGCTCCCCCATGCAACGTGATGCGTATTCGCATCACAGCCCATGATGGGTGGCCACCTCTTCCTATTGCACTGCTCCACAAGCCTCCGTACCTCCAGTTGCGGAGGGGATGCTCCATCCCCCGGAAATTACGCTGATGTGGACACTATCTCCAACTCCTTGCCCCCAACATTAATGCGGGCTCTGACAGGTGTGGGACCCCTTGTAATGTACTCTGAAAGTAAAATAAAGTTAATATTTTTTCTAATTAGAATGCAGGCCCTGGGTCGGTCCTGCCCATAATCCCATACTACCTGCGCATCCCTGATTGACAGTCGTTTGATGTGCCCTCTGTATACCCAGGGCTCCTGTATCATGGCTATGGCCGGATGTTCCTTGGTGAACATCCTTGCCAGAACAGCCGAAGCTGCTCTGGCGGGGTGGCCATTCACCTGGGCGACCCTGGCGGTCTCGTCCCTCATTTGTTGAGTGGACTGGCAGGGGAAGAAGGGGACGAAAACGGTTATTACATAAGGCTTAGGGATGTCATCTCCCTTCCTTGCCGTCAATTTCAAAGGGTATACTAAATTTGCCTTACCGTTTGTAACGCTAAGAAATAACGGTGTTAGATATAGACTCAAGTGTATGTTTTTGATCAGCGTCAAATTCTGAGTTGATTTAGCTTTGTCTGTCCGTCCGTCCGTCCGTCCCAACGATAACTCAAAAACTAATTGAGCAAAGTTCACCAAATTTTCACAAATGATTCATTGTAGTAAGATTGAACATGATCGGGGTACCGGTTCGGGTAGCTGCCATACAACTTCAAAATTTATTTGGCTATATCTCAGAAACTATTAAAGCTATGGTATTAAAATTTCACACAAACGAATATATTTGTAGGGCCAATGTGTCTCATAAAAGTCGTTGAAATTATTTGGCTCCTTCTGGTACCTGCCATACAACTTCAAAAGTTATTTGGCTATATCTCAGAAACTATAAAAGCTATAGTATTGAAATTTCACACAAACGAATATATTAGTAGGGCCAATGTGTCTGATAAAAGTCGTTGAAATTACTTGGCTCCTTCTGGTACCTGCCATACAACTTCAAAAGTTATTTGGTTATATCTCAGAAACTATAAAAGCTGTGATATTGAGATTTCACACAAGTGAATATATTAGTAGGGCCGATGTGCTTGATAAAATTCGTTAAAATTTCTTGGTTCTTTCTGGTAGCTGCCGTACAACTTCAATAGTGGTTTGGCACAACCAGTATTTTGAAAAACACATAGTACTGAAATTTTGCATAAATTAATATAGTAATACGGCAACTTAAAGTCATAGTCTGCCCCATAGTCAGTTGTGGCATCTTTATTCACACAAAGGATAACAAATTCGTACGGGTATCACAGAGTTGACAAGGTCAACTCTATTTTTTTTCTCGTTTTATAATATATTCTTATAATAAAAAAGATTTTCCTTAAAAAGTTAATGCTTTATCTTTTTTTAAATAATGTGTTATTTTGTGCTTGCAATACTAATACATATTATTTTAAAGCTATAAAAAAATTACCTCATTTTATTATTTATTACCTGACATTCCTGGTACTTGTATTTGTTTTTTTTGCAAGAAATATAGAAAACTGTTGAAAAAACCGTAAAAAGGATTCTAATAAAAAACTTGTTTTTTATTAGAATCCTTTTTACGTTGTTGGTCCGCTCCATCTACCCAGAACTGGCACACGCTTGATCAGCTATTCAGCTGTCTCCTCATCTGCACAATCGACGAGTCCCATCCCGGGCTTGAAGTGTATTCCTTCAAGTTGGATGATGTTATCCCAGCCCTTGGCTACCTCATCGATGTTATGATGATTTCCATTTATCATACACGCTTCTGTACTACAGATCATAAACATTATAATTACCTATGTACTTATATATATATACATAGCATAAACAGGTACCTCTATATAGATTATAAGAACAGTAGATAATAAGACTTTGTATGATAAACATCTAATTAGTAATTAATAATAAGAAATGAAATAAAATATAAAAAGCATTTTTAATAATTCAACATGGTGTCAGAAGTAAAGCGAAGTATAATAATGTCGAAACAAAAAAAAAAATTTTTTTTAAATTAAAGTCGAATTTTGGAATTATCGTCTAATTAAAAAAAAAAAAAATTAAAATTTATAATTTTAAAATTACTAAAATTGTTAAAAGCTTTTTAGACACGCTTAGAAAAATTTTAAAACTAAAGCACGTGTTTTATATTAAATCAAAAAAAATATAACTTAGCAGAAGACAAATATTGAATAAAAATTTAATAGTTAATATACATCAAAATACTTACTAATTTTGCATTAAAAAAAATTTTAAAATTAACAAAAAAAATATATAAATATATTAAATAATGAAAAAATCAGAATCCGAAAGTGAAATAAGGTCTGTCCTGTCTCCATCATATACTTCTTCGCCACAGTTCATGATGCCACCTCTAAATTTCGAGTCGACAAATTTACCAATGGCATGGAAAGATTGGTACACCCAATTTAAAATTTATTGTCGAGCAACTGGGGTAGAAAGTTATTCTAATGAAAGGTCGCAATTTTACTGCACTGTATGGGTCACGGTGCTCTTAAAATATTTAGTTCTTTTAATGAAGATGTAGACAAAATTAAATATGAAGATCTAATTAAAAAATTTGAAAAATATTTTCTTCCAAAAATAAATCTAGCTATTGAAAGGCATAAATTCTTCACATGTGCGCAAAAACCAACGGAATCTATTGAGGATTTTATTACGGGATTAAAAAATTTAAGTCTTAACTGTGAATTTGGCACCTTACGTGAAAGTTTAGTTCGAGATATATTTGTATGTGGCCTTAGTCAACAAAATATTCAAATAAAGGAAAAATTATTAAGCGAAGGAAATATTAGTTTAGACAAAGCCGTCGAAATTGCTAAAAGCACCGTACTAACTAGAGTTCACTCAAGGCAAATCCAAAGCAATTCATCAGACTCTCTTTTTGTGGGTGCAGTACAAAATATGAAATTTAAAAATTCTACTCAAACCAATAAGTCATACAATAAAAAACCAGTCAACAATTTTTTTAGTCAGTCAACCAAACAAATTAAAGGTAAACAGAAAATATTTGTTCGAAGTGTGGTCAACTTCACCGATTTCGATGTCCAGCTATAGGTATGGTATGCCATAAATGCAAGAAAAAAAATCATCTTGCTTCAATGTGCAAATCAAGTCAAATAAGAACATTACAACCGCAGTCTTCTAATGAGATCCAGTCGTTATATTCAGGTGTTATACAATCAACTTCTAATGGTTCAAATAGTAATAGTACTTGTAATTGGTATGTAAAAATTTTTGTCAAAAATATTGAAATAAATTGCTTATTAGATTCAGGTGCGCAAGGAAACATTATTAGTCTTTCTAACTTTGAAAAATTAAATCTAAATCATAAAAAAATAAAACAAACAAATAAAAAAATTTTTACTTTTGGTAAACAATCTTTGCCAATAATAGGCACATATGAAATCAAATGTGTGTACAAAGAATACTTAATATTATTTTATATCATGAATATAGAATGTCAAACAATTTTAGGTTTAGCAACTTGTATTGAAATGAATTTAATTAAAAGGATAGTCACATAACCAATAGATATAAATAATTTAACAATTCCAAATGAAAAATTTAACTTTTTAAAAAATTATAAAGATTTATTTGAAGGTATAGGATGTTTACAAACAAAGTGTCACTTCAAAGTCAAACAGGATGCTCAGCCTGTTGTTGTCGCACCTAGAACTCCCTTTCAAATTGGTGGAACCATTAAAATATGAATTAAAAAGACTTGAAGACTTAAGCATAATCAAAAAGACAGATGAACTTACCGAATGGGTAAGCTCTATTGTTACAGTAAAAAAACGTTCAGGAGATATTCGAATCTGTTTAGACCCTCGTAATTTAAATAATGTGCTAGTGCGTTCTTTTTACCAATTTCCAAAAATTGACGATATTATTTCTAAATTAAATAATTCGCGAATTTTCACAAGTCTGGATGCAACATCGGGCTTTTGGGCAATTCCATTAGATGATTATTCGTCTAAACTGTGTACATTCATAACGCCTATGGGTAAATTTCATTTTTTGCGTCTACCATTCGGAGTTAAAGTAGCTCCTGAAATTTTTCATGCTACAATGATTAATCTTTTTGGGGATATACCTAATTTAATAATTTACATAGATGATTTTTTGATATATGGGTCAAATGAAAATGAACATAATGTGACATTAATAAAAGTGTTAAACAGAGCAAGGCAAGTAGGGCTAAAATTTAATAAATCAAAGTCAAAATTTGGTGTTCAAGAAATTACATATATGGGACATATTTTTAATGGCAAAGGAATGAGACCAGACCCCTCGAAAATAGAAGCTATTTGCAAAATGTGTATACCAAAAATTTTGGCAGATTTGCAACGATTTCTTGATATGGTAACATACTTGGGGTCGTTTATTGAAAATTTATCTTCTGTTACAAGTAATTTAAGATCTCTACTAAAATAGCAAACAGTTTGGAATTGGTCTAAGGCTCACGAAAAAGAATTTAAGAATTTAAAAAATATTTTAACAAATGCACCAACTCTTTCATATTATGATTCAAATCAACCAATTGTTCTTAGTACGGATGCATCTAAGGTTGCAGGCGGTGCAGTTTTACTACAAAATTGTAGACCAATTGCATATGCTTCTGCAAGTCTTACAGAAACCCAACAACGTTATGCCCAAATTCAAAAAGAACTTTTTGCTATTCTATTTGGGTGTGTCAAATTTCACCAATTTGTTTATGGTCACTCGGTTAAAGTTGAGACCGATCATAAACCTTTGGTACCTATTTTTTCAAAACCTTTTTATAAGGTTCCGGCAATTTTATTAATCATAAGCAGCTAATTTTAACATAACGAATTATGTTAAAATTAGCTGCTTTTGATTTAGAAGTAACATATAAGTCCGGAAAAAAAATGTTCATAGCCTATATACTTTCACGTGCAGCATTATCAACTTTTGTTGATGAACAAATTGAAGAAGAAATCAATTTGTGTTGCAATTTATTAATTGCATCATTGTCGGTCAGTGAGTCAAAATTTTGCCAAATTCGAGAAGCTACAAAAAATGATTCCGTCTTATCAAAAATAAAAACATATATTTTTCGGAGATAAAATCAGGAATTTGCCATATGAAATTCGCCCATATTTTAAATTTAAAGATGAATTAACAATAGTTGATAATTTAATATATAAATGCAACAGTCTTGTGATTCCTACAAGTCTGAGAAAGGATATTTTGTCACGTGTTCATGAAGGTCATTTAGGCATTGCAAGGTGCAAAAATTTAGCTAGGAATAGTGTTTTTTGGCCGAGCATGAACAATGATATTCAAAACGTTGTGTCTAATTGTGAAATTTGTATACGATACAGAAAGTCAAATCAAAGGCAACCAATAATACCACATGAAATAGAAGCTATTCCGTGGTATAAGGTTGGAATTGATATTTTCGATTATAATAAACAAAAGTACCTATTAGTTGTAGATTATTATTCTACATATATTGAAATTGCTTTACTAAATACGGGCTTTACAGCCAAAAGAATTATTCACCATCTTAAATCTATTTTCGCCAGACATGGCATTCCCAAAGTTATGATATCAGATAATGGCCCGCCTTTCAATTCAAAAGAATTCAAAGAATTTTCAATTTCTTGGGATATAGATCATAATACTTCGAGTCCTTACTATCCTCGATCTAACGGCCTAGCTGAAAGATCAATTGGAACAATTAAGACACTTTTACAAAAAAGTAATGACAGTAAAACTGATCCTTATATCGCATTATTACAACACCGCACTACCGCAAAAAATGGATGTCTTTCCCCAGCGGAACTTTTAATGTCAAGAAAACTACGAACAAAGTTGCCAACTCTTCGGGATGCCCTGAAGCCTAATACGATTGACGCTAAGATTTGTGAAAATTTGATAAACAACAAACAAAGAAAAATGAAATATTATTACGATCGTAATGTAAAATCGTTGAGTAATTTGAAGTCAGGACAAAACATTTTTTATAAAAAACATCCAATATCTGTTTGGTATCCTGGAAGAGTTATTGAACAATGTAAGGAACCTCGTTCATATATAGTTAAAGATAATGAGGGCAATACATATAGGAGAAATAGGGAACATCTGTTAGAAACACCTTGTAGTGGTATTCCAAAGAACTTTGATAATGATAAAAATAATGAAGAGGTATTTTCTTCTCCTGAAAGGGAAGAAGGTAAGTGCATTACGCAATATGGACGTACTATTAAAGAACCGATAAGATTTTAAACTTCAATATTGAAAACAATAAAAAAAATAAAGTTTAAAAAGTTTAAACACAATAATAAAATAACAGACTTTGAGGTGACATTTAAAATAAAAATACAAATACTAATGTTAATAGAAATAAAAATAAAAACAAAGTTATGCATATTTATGTAATTAAAAATGAATTAATACTTTGATTTTATATTTGTATAATTAAATACTTATACAGATATTGTAAAATACTTTTGTAAAATATTAAAAAAAAATAAATAAATCAATTATTTAAAAGGGGAACATGTTATGATGATTTCCATTTATCATACACGCTTCTGTACTACAGATCATAAACATTATAATTACCTATATATATACATAGCATAAACAGGTACCTCTATATAGATTATAAGAACAGTACATAATAAGACTTTGTATGATAAACATCTAATTAGTAATTAATAATAAGAAATGAAATAAAATATAAAAAGCATTTTTAATAATTCAACAATCGATTATCGCCTCCTCCAGCTGGGTGAGCTCCTGCTGGGTCAGCATTATGGAGGGATATTCCCTTGACAGAACTGCCACTTTCACAATTTTGGCGGTAGTGCCCAGTTTCATTTTCAAGGTTCTTTCAGCCGTCTTCCTTCTTTTGGCCTGCTCTTCTTGGGGTGTCAAGGACTCACGGAAGACTTGCCCTCCACATCGATAGCCTGCGAGGATGTGGAGCGACTTTCCTCCATGCCATCCCTCCCTTTTTCGTTGCAAGGGGTATCACGGAGGTTAGTCTCCATTTCCCTTGCAACCTTCTTCTTTTTTGTTCGTTGTATCGATTTTTCTATTTTTGTTTTTTGTGTGCCATTCATGTTTTTGTCCCACGAGTAGCTAGGGAAAGAATAGTCCGCTACGCCAGAGCCCCGCATGACGTAGTAAGGTCGAAGGAGGGATACTACGAATGTGAAATACTGAATATGATAAGCGAAATGAGAAGAGCTAGACGCAGACGGCAAAACTCACGAGATCCGGCAGATAAAACTTCACTCAATCGAATCACTCAGAATCAAAAAAGAAAAATAAGAGAGATCAACGATTCATTTGATAATTACATTAAAAATTTTTTAGCCGAACTAGAAAGTAATTATTTCTTATGGAGGGCTGCAAAAAATATTAAAAAGCAAATCTTACATATCCCCTCTATTAGAGGAATGGATGGAAAAATGCGCAACAGAAAATAAGGATAAAGCTGAAATATTTGCAGATCATTGAACAAATTTTTAGGCCTAATGACATATACTCAAACATAAATATTGCAATAGGAAATGTGAGAGCAGAAAACGTTATCGCTCTATTTGCACAAAGAGAAATATTGCAGGAAATAAAAAGTTTAAAGTCAAGGAAAGCACCAGGTTATGATTTAATTACCTCTGAGATACTGAAGCAATTACCAAAAAAGGGTATAGCAAAGCTAACTTTTTTAATAAATTCTGCATTAAGGTTATAATATGTGCCTAATGCTTGGAAGGTGGTAGAAATTATAACCATACCAAAACCTGATAACCCTTTAAATGAGACCAAATCTTATAGACCAATTTCTCTTCTACCAATTTTGCCGAAACTTTTTTAAAAATTTTTACCGAACGGAATGGGACCTATAATGAGGAAAGGTCATTAATTCCGAATCACAAATTTGGGTTTTGAGGAGGGCATTCAACTACTGATCAAATTCATAGAATTACAAATATTACTGAGGAAGCCCTAGAGGAAAGTTTGTGTAACAATTTTTGTAAACGTATCACAGGCTTTTGACAAGGTTTAACACGAAGAATTAATATATAAGTTAGAAAATATATTACCAAAGCAATATGTAGATATTCTTTCTTCTTATTTAACCAATAGATTATTTAGAGTCAAACAGGAAGTGGACTATTCCACACTTAGAGAAATAAGAGCAGGTGTACCTAAGGGCAGTATTTTGGGTTCAATACTATATCTAGTCCTTACGGGAGATGTGCCTTAAATAGAAAACACAATTGTGGCTACATATGCCTACGATACTGCAATTATGGCAGTAGCATCAAATATTGACGAGGCCACAAGAAAGTTGCAGCAAGCAAGCAAGAGTCTTGAGGCTTGGAGCAGGAAATGGAAAATAAAAGTAAATGAAACTAAGTCTGCACGAGTAAATTTTACAAATAAAGTTCCCGTAAACCTCCCACGTGTTAATTTAAATGGGTTAAATGTTGCGCAGGAAAATGCGGAAAGATATCAAGGAATGACACAGGATGTTAAGCTAAAATGGAAAGAGCATGTTAAGTAGAAAAAGGCAGAATTACAATTAAAATATAAAGAAATGTGTTGGCTCCTAGGTCGCAAGTCAAGGTTGCTGATACAGAATAACATCCTGCTCTATAACTAAATTATATACCGGTTTATTTGTATGGTATCCAGTTGTGGAGATGTGTCAAAGAAATACATGTCCAGCGAATACAAACGTTCCAGAATAGCTGGATGCCCCTTGGTATGTTCGAAATGGAGATTTGCTCAGAGATCTAAAGATTACATGTGTAGTTGACGAAATTAACGAAAGGGCGGTGAGACATAGAGCTTGTAGGGAGCAACATGTCAACGTGGAGGCCTCTCGGCACATTGTAATCCGGGATTCTCCCAGGAGGCTAAAGATGATTTGATGGTTGATCTAATGGAACTAGTATCAGAGTATAAGGAGGAGGTTTTTGTTACTGAGTTGTTTGAATTGCGAATTGTAACATTTAAAATCAATATTTAGATGCTTAAAGTTTCAAGTTTAAAGTATAAATTTTATATCGCATAGTTGAAATATAAAATTTAAAAAGTAAACTTTTGTCGGTTTAACGATATTTGAAACTGAAAAATACTTGTCTTATAATCAAATTTAAATTAAACGAAAACATTTTTCGTGTTGAATTTAAAGTTTTTACTTTTCTCTTTTGCAATTCTTCTTTTACACCGGCCTTTAAGTAGGGAAAGAGCACATTTTTAGCACTTTTTCAAAAAAAAATTTAAAATAGCTGCTTATTAGTTTCAGGCTGTCCGTTCGTCCGTCCATGGACATGTTAAAAAAGCTTCTACACAAATAAAGATAGAAAGCATAAATTTTATATATATACACAGATCTTTACTGAAAACTTATCTCCTCAGAACCTCTCAAAGTCATAAAAATGCCATTTTTTAAGTAATTATTATAGTAAAATCAGAATTATTTTTTAAATTTTGCAAACACAAAAAAGGGGCTGGCTTCTTCTAATACGGCATACCATACCTAAACTTTACAAAAACAAAATACCCGTTACAATTTACCGTTATCTGAATCCGCTCTTTACAAATTTTTGACATCGTTTTTCTTCTAGACCTCAGTTTTTAGAAGTCTGAAATTTTAGCAGCTTTTAGATATTTACAAATAGTTCATTTTTGCCATTTCATATTTCCAAAACGGTAAGCTTTTTCATAAAGTAAAAAATATAATTATTTTTCATAAATCATGCAATTAGCCTTTAAATTCGACCATTGCGATAACGCGTCTTTATTTTTTTTTTGTTTTTTTTTCAAAGATTGGATGCATTGTCCATAATCTTTGATGCAATCTTTGAAACATATGTTTATATGCATTCAACTAGTTTTAATAATGTAGTACAGAGATTATTTTTAAAAGTAGTTTCATTTGTTGAAGGGAAAAGTGCTATATTACAAATGAACATAATTCACATTCCGTAAGAAGTTATAAATATGCAAATGGTGAGAAATTAGTTGTCTAACCACAAAAATAATATTAAATAAAAGAATTTAAATAGCCATATCCGGCTTTCTATTGGACTGAGTTTAACAACAGAGTTAAAGCAGTTTTGTCGTTCCTACGTTATTGATTTCAAGAGGTAGGTAAGACATAAATAAATTATACACTGTGATGAAGAATGTGCAAATTTATTTCCTTTGATGTACACAAACTTGAAAATTGAAAAAAAACAAAACATATAATGAAAATCACCGGAATATTTTGGCCTTAACTGTCAACTCGATCGATTAAAAATGGCAAGGCATATAGAAGAAATTAAAAAAAATAGGGTTTTTAGAATTATTTTTCTTACATATACGTATATTTTCAGTTTGGCAATGTTAACAAGACTATAAACGCACTAACAAGAAAATATAAATTTATGTAATGATAATGAAATACTGAAAATAAAAACTTAAACGGCTGTTTTGAAGTATGTAGTTCTTGTAATATTGGTAAATTCGTTGTTAAAAAGAAAGATATAAAAAACCTATGTAAGATATAAATGTCGAAATGATAAAGGAAGTTTAAGTTGAAAGCGAAAAGATATCAACTAGCTCAGGACAAAAAATAAAAACTATTCTAATAAATTTTTAATAACCTAAAAGAAAAACTAATAAAGTTGGGTCAAACCAATAGTTTGTATTGTAGCACTTTTCCCTTCAACAAGTGAATATTCTGCTTTTAACTACATTCAAAAATATAAGTATTTTTCTTAATTCACACAATTCAACCTTAAAATCGAGCATTATGTTAACACCACTTTTTATTAATTTTTGCTTTATTTCAAAGACTGCATAAATCAATTATCCTAAATATATGCAATCCTAGAAATAGTTCCGTATATGATTGAAAATAATTTTAATAGTGTGATAGGTATACATAGACTGTATTTTAAAGCAGAATTTTCACTTGTTGAAGGGAAAAGTGCTACAATACAAACCATTGGTATGACCCCACTTTATTTAAGTTTAACTATAGTATGCCACGATAGGAGAAGCAAGCCACTGCCTTTCTGCATTTGCAAAATTTGAAAAATGCTTACGGTTTCATCGCATCTAATAGTTAAAAAAGGCCATTTTTAGGGTTTTGAGGGGGGGGTTATAACTTTTAGTAGGGGTGAGATGGGTAAAAATTTTGTTTAACGGAAATAAGTTTCTAGTAAAGATCTATGCACATATAAAATTTCAGCTTTCTATCTTCAAGGGGTGTAAAAGGTTTTTAAATATGTCCACGGACGAAAAATTTTCTGGAAAAGTGCTAAAAATAATTAATATCCGTAATTTTACTTCTAATTAAAATGCATTATGCAAAGTTTAGATTTAAAAAATTTCAATATATGAATTTCTGCTTTGAAAGGTTAGAAAAGAACATGAGCAACCTACTCTAACATTTCAAAAATAAGATAATCGTAAAACTATTTTAATTTTGATAAAAATCTGATGTGGTCAGCACATAACCGACTGCATTGTGTATTGTCTAGTTAATTGAAAGGGTTACAGAATATTATAAAAATGTCTGTTAAATACTTCTTTCCAATTTTTAGACATTAGTAAGCTTATAGTTAACATATCTAGCTCTTAGTACAGTTTCGTTTTGTGCTATCCGAATTCCCTGAATTCCCTGAACCACCATTTAGTTTTGGTATTGCTTAGAACTCAAATATCAAATTTCATGAAATTCCATCAATTCGTTCCGTAGATATGGTGAAAAATGTAAAATCGGCCCGCAAATCATTTTTCGAGCCCAGATCTTTCAAAAAATTTATATGTTCATTGTTTTAATTCGAGGAATTCATATATTACATTTGAATGAAATAGGTTGATTATTTCTCTTTATATACACAAAAATGTATATTTGGCCCGTAGTTAACGTCCAGTTGCTGATGCCTGATTTCTTCCAAAAGTTAGGAATTTTCGCGGACGGTCGAGCAAAGCTAATATATGAAATTTCAAGTAAATCGGTGAAATATTTTCTTCGAAATGGTGGAAAATGTGAAATCGGCCCGGAAATCAGTTTTCGAGCCCTGATCTTTCCAAAAAATTTATATGTTCATTGTTTTGATACGAGGAATTCATATATTAAATTTCAATGAAATCGGTTGGTTACTTCTCTTTTTATACACAAAAATGAGTATTTGGCCCGTAGTAAACGCCTAGTTGCCGATGCCTGATTTCTTCCAAAACATAGGAATTTTCGCGGACGATCGAACAAAGCTTATATATGAAATTTTAAGTAAATCGGTCGAATACTTTCTTCAAAACGTAAAACAGGCCCGCTAAAAAGTGCAGTTCCCGAGGCCTGATATATCCCAAAAGTTGATCAATCCGTGCCATGGTGGAAATAAACTTACATATAAAATTTCATCAAAATCGGTTCAGCAGAACTTGAGATACACGCGTGCATACACAGACCGACAGACCGACAGACCGACAGGTTGCTAAAAATAGTTTATTTACACTTCCCTACTATGGAGAAGTGCATTCCCACCGAAAACTCGATATGCAAAATTTGTTGCCATCACATAACCTACCTATTGTTTACACAATACGATCGGTAAAAAAGGACCGATATAAAATTAAAGAAAAGCAAAAAAACTACTTGTTGAGAAAATCAGAATTATATTTTATGATATAAAAATATTTTGGGGATACCTACATATGTTCAAGTCGATTAAATTTCATTGATTTTTTCTAAAGGTTTAATTCAATTCGCAAATGGTTTAATTCAATTCGTAAAAAGTTTAATTTATTTCACAAAAGGATTAATTTCTTTCGTAAAAAGTTTAATTCCATTAGCAAAAGGCTTAATTTAATTCACAAAATCGTTAATTTAATCTAAAAATTCTGTATAATTGAAAATTTCAAAAATTTAACTATTTTGTACATAAAAATCGCAAGTGAAGTATAGAGTAAAATAAAATTCTTTAGTTGTTTTGTATTTAAGTTGATCAATTAAACATGGAGACATTGGTTATCACTTTCATTGTAAATAATGTTCTTCTTATACATGGCTCCATATCTACATATAGGTATATGAATTAATCAGGTGAATACTTTATAAAATAAAAAACAAATTATTTTTTTGTTCTTGGAAGCATAGCATTTAAACTCTTCATAAAAAAAAATATGTATAAGTAAATAAACATTTCTAAAACATGTCAATACACTTTGTTATATATATATTATGATCTATATTTATGTCACCTTACTTAAGTCAAATTTTATTCTAAAATTCACAAAGTTACTTTTTTGTAAAATATTGATAACAGGTAAATAAAAAATTGTTTTATCTAAATACATAATTATATATATGACATTACTTCACCTTACAATCATGTGAATATCCACATAATATTTTCAGTATTGCAAAATATATGTGCTATATGTACATACGTACTCAAACTAATACATATTTTTTTTAAACTTATACATACTATTTAAATGAGAGACATTATAAAATATGACGGCGAGTAAATAAATTGTTTCTTTCTGATCGCTTCGTCATGTTTAAGGTTCAACTTAAAAGAGAATTTTTCTATTCGTTTGTTTTTTGAAATAGTTTGTAGGATTCATGTTTTTATAAATTTTTTTTGTTGCGTAAGTAAAGTAGTAACAAATTATGTTATGTACTTGTATTTAAATCAACAATTCTTTTATAATTGTTTTTAACTCTATATTTTTACATCTTTGTATGTAATTTTAAAAAATAAAACTTTTAATTTTACACCTACAGACACATGTATATAATATGTATTCTAAAATTTTTTGTACCGAAAACAGTAAAAGATTTAAAAAATTTTTTTTAACATTTAATCTTTTGTTTTATCGCCGAATTTATGCGTTCTCTTTAAAGATAAAACTAAAAAAGTCCAAAATAATTTGAATTGAAGCGCGATAAAAATTTTGTGTCTGTAGAATTAATTTTAAATTAAAATTAAATTGTTAATTTACATCATAAAAAAACTCTTCACAAATTATTTTATAAAAATATAATAATTTGCAAAGTGTTTTGTGTAACAAAAATAATAAGAAATATTAAAAGTGAAATTTAAAGTGATACATTATACGTTATATATGTATATAAGTAGATTCATACACATATATCTAAAACTTTACTCGACGTAATAATTAATTTTTTGTGTTTATTCCTAGTATAGCAAATATACATCATGTACATATTAATGATTCGTATGTGTATTTCGCATATCATACAAACAAGTATTCTTTTTTATTATTAATGTAGAATTTATACAGTAAAATCAGGTGAAATAATTTGTACAAAATGTGGGTGATAATGTGAATCGAAGTAACATTGAAATATAAAATACTCAAATTGAATCTTGTGGATTGCCAAAGTTGATATATTTTTTAAAATACAAATACATAATATTAGATTTTAATTTTTTTTTGTATTTTTTACATTGGTATGTTCTAAACGTAATCTATTCTTTTTTTGTTTATCAGTAATGAAAATGTTGATATAGAAAAAAAACTAAATTTTCACCATAAATTTAGCTTACTTTATACAACTCTACAAGCTACTAATTTTTAAAGTTTTTTTATTAATAATGTCATTTAAAACAAGTGGTTTTTAAAATAAAAATTACAGATTGTTTCGCATAACGGATAAGGTATAATTTTTTTATCAATTTCCAGCATAAAATGGTATGTTTGGGGTGGTGTGCAGATATACTTTTTGAGCTACAGCTTGTTGGAAAAAAAAGGTACTGAACTTCTACATATAAATAAATGTTTTATACATATAAACTTCGGAACGATACAACATAAAGTTATAACTGGGAGCTAGTGTTACGGGCGATTGATTGTTCTTTATTTCTGGCTTGACAATTAATTTGATTTGAGCCATAGTTTTTGAGATACAGCTCGTCAAAGTAACGATAGACCATAGGAGGTTTTGCGGACAGTCGAGCTTATATAGAGTTAAAATAAGAGTGTTTATGGTTTCGAAGTTATAAGCATTTATTTATGTGCAAGAGGAGTCCTTTACATTTTTTTTCAACAGGCTGTAGCTGGAAAACGCCCATACTAGCATTGTTGGAAATTGAGCAAAGAATCATCATTGAAATTTGCTACCTTATGCAAAACATTGCGTATAATATATGTAATTACATGATTTTACCCAGTCAAGATTATATTTTGTAATTTGTAAAAGATAAATTTTAGTTTTTTGTGCTGTAGGCTTATTAATTAATGTTGTTATAAAAATTAAAATAATCAATGGATCATCAGAATTGGTTGACTACATTCTTCAGATATTTATTTATTTCTGCTATATATTTAAGAAATTTGTTTTTTTTTATCTTGATTTAAGTATAATATTAAGTTGCTATTTCAAATTTATAAATTTTTATTTCATTTTAATTTTTTGAGACATAAGTTTCAACTAATGCCATATATGTATATTTATCAGGCCACCAAGCTGCATTATTTTCCGAAATTTGGAATCGGAAAAAAATACAAAACAATGTTTTATATTAATGTTTTATGTTTTCGAAGTTTTTCGATTGAAATATTTTTTTTTTATTTTTTTTGTGAAATTTTTGAGGTTTTTTTATGATTCTCATTTTATTTAGTATAATTTTAAAAGCCATTTAGATTATAATAATTATTTTTTTGCTTTTTTCTTCCATTTCATTGTAAATTCTATTTCTTATTCAAAAATTTTTCTCTGTAATCCAGTACCTCTTCCATTTGGAAAACAAGAAAGGTTGTCTACGCTAAAACTTGCAATTTTTTTTTCTAAATGTATTTTTCAGATGGAATTTACCAACCGATTTTTGTGAAATTTTAATTTTAAATTTCAAAAAATATGTAATTATTCTTTGAAATTTAAAATCTGTAGAGCCAATAATATTGATCAATTTCCTTCACACAAATAAATTCCGACACATCTTCCATTGAAACTCCATATAGTTGCATTATAGTTTCAACAAAGTGAAAATATAGCTTATATATGTACCATATGTATGTACCTTCATACAGTATGTAAATAAATATATTATATAAAAAATATATTTAAAAATTCAAATAAAAAAGTCTTCTTTTATGCATTATATTATTTAAAAGAAAGCTGTGCACTTTTTAGCTTTAACAATTTTTTCTATATTTTGGTATATAATACGAAATTTACAATTTTTTTATATTAAATATATAATTAAAATGTATAACAATATTTTAACTGATTTACGTTTTGGAGAAGTAAATAGTTTTAAAATACTATAATTTTTTATTATTTTATAATCATTATAATTTATAAAGAATTTCAATATCAACGGCAATAATTCTAATCGACTGAAATATTTCTTTTCTTTAAAAAGTACATGAGTATTTATATATTTATATATATGTACGCATATTTTTAATAATTTGTATCACATAATATATAAATATTATGTCACATAAAACAGTAATATAAACTTGAACTTATTTACCTTTCTTAAGCTCTAAATGGTACACATTTTCAAATTATATATGTATATATATATTTTCGCTTATATTGTCTATTCAAATACAAAATACGTGTTCTACCTGTAAATATGTAATGTAATATACATAGGTACATAATTACTTTCTTATATTTTCGCTAATATATGCATACTCGTACATACAAATGATGTTGACGTCTATCAAAACTTGTTTAAAATCCGAATTTATGATTTTTTTCATATTGAGTAAACAAAATAAATTTTTTTTTTAATTATTTGATATTTTTCACATATGTACATACATTTTTACCGACCGTATTGTGTATACAATAGGTAGGTCATGTGATGGCAACAAATTTTGCATATCGAGTTTTCGGTGTTAATGCACTTCTCCATAGTGGGGAAGTGTAAATAAACTATTTTCAGCAACCTGTCGGTTTGTCGGTCTGTGTGTGCACGCGTGTATCTCAAGTTCGGCTGAACTGATTTTGATGAAATTTTATATATAGGTTTATTTCGACCATGACACGGATTGATCAAGTTTTGGGATATATCAGGCCTCGGGAACTGCACTTTTTACCGGGCCTGTTTTACATTTTTAACCATTTTGAAGAAAATCTTCAACCGATTTACATTGAAATTTCATATATAAGCTCGATTGTCCGCAAAACCTCCTAACTTTTGGAAGAAATCAGGTGTTAGCAACTGGACGTTTACTACGGGCCAAACATATATTTTTGTGTATATAAAGAGAAATAATCAACCGATTTCATTGAAATTTTATATTTAAATTCTTCGTACTAAAGCAATCAACATATAAATTTTTTGGAAAGATCAAGGCTCGAAAACTGATCTGCGGGCTGTTTTTACATTTTTCATGGAATTTCTTGAAATTTGATATTTGAGTTCTGGTTGTCCGAAACTATCTGGCGAGCATTTCAGGGAATTCGGATAGCACAAAGCAAAACTCTTCTAAGAGCCAAATTTACATTTTTCTAGGTATGTTAACTATAAGCTTACTAATGTCCTGAAAATTGGAAAGAAGTATTTAACAGACATTTTTATAATATTCTGTAACACTTTCACTTAACTAGCCAATACACATTGCGGTCGGGTATGTGCTGATCACATCAGATTTTTTTTATATTCTTTAAGAAAGCGAAAAAATTTCTAATATATCAACTTTGCCAAATATATTTAATTTAGATTTTTTTCTTCGCATTATAATAACGTTTTATAAATCTAAGTATGACATAATGTTTTTAATCTACAGTTATATATATATACATATACGTATGTAAAAATTTAACAGTTTGCAAATACAGAATGTTACATATATTCAACCTCGTGTTAAAAATTTTTGAAAATGAGTAATTATAGTAAAATCAATAAAAGTTGTAAAAATCAAAAAACTTACAAACAAAAGAAACTTTTGAATGAAAATGTAAAGAAACTAAAAAAACAGAAATCATGTGAAAATTTAGAAAAGGCATCTACAACAGATAACAATTGCACGAAGGATATTAAAATAAACCAAAGAAAACCTTACAGTCATAAATCCCTTACGCTCGTAAATAAGAAACTTAGTGAAGTCACAAAAAATGAAAGAAATTTCAATCAACAAATACCCTTATCAGATCGTGATTATGATATCCCTAAAATGGAAAGGTCGAAAAGTTTTTTTTTAACAAGGAAAATTTCAGAAATGTTAAATCATTTATCTAGCAGTAAAGAAAATCTTTCAACAGCTCCATCACTCTCCCCAAAAGAAAAATCCGTTAATTCAAATAATGCGCCATACCAATTTATTAGAAGCAAAAGTATGATTTTGTTGAGAACTTCCAAACGTAAAAATTATGGACCACAATTAGAAAAATTATCTGAAGAATCCGAACGACCGAATTCCCCAGTACAGATTTTTAGAGAGCAGCTAATAACTGAAGAATCACTAAAGGAAGCAACAACTGTTACGACAGCCCCAATGGCTATCGTGTCGGATAATGCTGCGGTACTTTCATTCAAAAGTGTACCAAATAATAGTACTTCAGCCCTTAAAACAAATACGTTTCCATTAATTAAGGAATCTAATGTTGAATTTCGTAGAACATCTTGGGATTCAGGCATGAGGCCAGCGTCTGCTACAGTTTCAGTAGATTTTGCTATAAGTGACCGTCGCAAATCTAGCGGAGTATTTAAAGACACATTAAAACGTATTGTTACTACAGAACGACGAAAATCTGTTAATGCAAGATGGAGTGCATCTTTGCAAAGCTTACAAGAAATTGATAATATGGTTAGCTACGAAAATTTAAGTTTTATTGATTACGATAAGTTTAACGAATATGAAAAACAATTGAATCGTTTATTAGTACCTACAGGTGATTATAGTTTGACCAAGACACCTGAGCATTCTCCTATAAGTCCACGACATTTTGTCGCGAATATAGCAGATAATGTACGTTTTCGTAAGAAAAAAGGCCGTTCAAGTTTAAATAAAGAATACATTCCTAAAAGTTTTGCAACCGTAGAAAATAATAAATGTGGAGTCCCACTCATAGCTGATGCATATAATAATTGGCAAACGTACAGTTTAGACGATCAAAAACTTATTGAAATTGGTGAAAATTTTCACAGTGATTTCCGAAAATTAGAAAATTACACAAATAATTATATGTCCAATAGTGCGTACTCATCAAGTGATATAATAGATTTTAGTTCCATATTAAGAAAAAAAGTGCCAAACATACAAAAATCCGTTAAGGAAAATTGCCACGTCCCTTCTGGAATAGATTTTAATTTGGTAAGTTTGTTGTTCATTTTAATTTTTATTTTTGATAAAAAAGTGTTTTACCTTACAATGTGTAGATATTTTTACTTCATGAGTAGGTAAAACCTTTTTATGGAGGCAAAGTTTACACTCAAAAATTTTTGAATTTCAAAGCGTTGAAGCAATCTTTACTATTTTTCACTCTTAGAAGTGTTAATTATAACTTCGCCCCTAGGTTGAGAGGCTTTGTTTATAAACGATTGTTGAAATCAAAACGAGTTATGACCTCGATTTATAAAAGATGTTATTTACGAAAGATCTTAACTTCATTTGTACGGAAATCAGATATAATTTGAATTTTAAACTCTGAAAGCTCAGCTCTTATATGATCTATCGAGCTGGAGAAGAACTTATTGGAAATTTTCGATGATACCTCCTTTCTGCTAAAACAAACTAAAGGCTTCTAAATGTAGTGAAGAAGGGTACTCTTGAAAAGGTCTCAGCATGTAAAATTTTACAAATTTTACTACAAATTTTGTTCGAGGACCCCCGAAAAATCGATTCTGCTAGGGTATAGGCAATAAAATAAGTCTTAATATAACAAAAATCTAATTATAATTTTGGCCATGCTGAATACTGTAGAAAAGTTCTTGAAAACTCTCCACGTTTTCTTTTTGAAAATTCTCTATACAAAATTGAAGCCGAGTTTACTTAAAATATAGTAGGCTGATATTTTTTATTTCGTACTTAGAATTAATACCTAATTTGTTATACAATTCAAGGCGAAGTGGAATAAAATTCAAACTTCAGTTTTCATCAATTTTTACCGACCATATTGTGTAAACAATAGGTAGGTAATGTGATGGCAACAAATTTTGCATATCGAGATTTCGGTGGGAACGTACTTCTCCATAGTAGGGAAGTGTAAATAAACTATTTTTAGCAACCTGTCGGTCTGTCGGTCTGTGTGTGCACGCGTGTATCTCAAGTTCGGCTGAATCGATTTTGATGAAATTTTATATGTAAGTTTATTTCCACCATGGCACGGATTGATCAACTTTTGGTATACATCAGGCCTCGGGAACTGCACTTTTTAGCAGGCGTGTTTCACATTTTTGAACATTTTGAAGAAAATATTCAACCGATTTACTTGAAATTTTATATATAAGCTCAGCTCGACCGTCCGCCAAAAATTCCTATATTTTGGAAGAAATCAGGCATCGGCAACTAGACGTTTACTACGGGCCAAATATACATTTTTGTATATATAAAGAGAAATAATCAACCGATTTTATTGAAATTTAATATATGAATTCCTCGTATTAAAACAATAAACATATAAATTTTTTGGAACGATCAGGGTTCGAAAAGTGATATGCGGGCCGATTTTACATTTTTCACCATTTTGAAGAAAATATTCAACCGATTTACTTGAAATTTCATATATGAGCTTTGCTCGACCGTTCGTGAAAATTTCTAGCTTTTGGAACAAATCAGGCATCGGCAACTGGACGTTTACTATGGACCAAATATACATTTTTGTGTGTATAAAGAGAAATAATTGACCGATTTCATTGAAATTTAATATTTGAATTCCTCGTATTAAAAAAATGATCATGTAAATTTTCTGGAAAGATAAGGCATTAGCAACTGGGTGTTTACTACGGCCCAAATATACATTTTTGTGTATATAAAGAGACATAATCAACCGATTTCATTGAAATTTAATATTTGAATTCCTCGTATTAAAACAATGAACATGTAAATTTTTTGGAGAGATCAGGGCTCGAAAACTGATCTACGGGCCGATTTTACATTTTTCACCATATCTACGGAACGAATTGATGGAATTTCTTGAAATTTGATATTTAAGTTCTGGTTGTTACCGAAACGAACTGGCGAGCATTTCAGGGAATTCGGGTAGCACAAAGCAAAACTCTACTAAGAGCCAAATTTACATTTTTCTGGATATGTTAACTATAAGCTTACTAATGTCCTAAAACTGGAAAAGTAATGTACTAAAACTGGAAAAAAGTATTTAACAGACATTTTCATAATATTCTGAAACACTTTCATTTAACTAGACAATACACAATGCGGTCGGTTATGTGCTGATCACATCAGATTTTTTGAAAATGGAAAAATATTTAAGCATCGCCAACATTAATTATCCTAGTCATTTAAATAGAGTAGTTAAAGAAAACTGTTTTGCTGAACTTTTCAAAGAAATGCAAGACGTGAAAAATGACATCATTATACCGGATTTAAAAAAGAAAATAAATGCATTGAATACAAAAAAAAATTTTTCTCTTAATTATTGTGAAATAAATAATAGTTCGTTATAGATATCTATATGTTTACGAGTAATAATTTTCTAGTTTTTAAATTACTTTTATTTATTTAGTTTAGATTTAGATTAAATAAAGTAACTGTCTTTCTAGTTGGTTCGACATTTTAATAAAGTATTCAACGAAATTTTTTCTTATTTCGTTGGCAACATAAGAGTGATTTTTCATTCTTTCAGTTTTAACTCCAACGTCTAAATTTTCTGCAGAGATTCTAGAATGCTGAGCAGTTTCTAAATTGCTATGAAATAGAAATAATTTAGGTATTTTAATATTGTACTATTGTATTTAGTGGCTAAAATTTGGCGTCGTGTTCTGCAGTTTCAAAAGGCGGAAAAGTTTCATTCAAAACAGTTACAATTCTTTTTTGAGTCAAATAAGAAATTTTATCGTTAAGCAATCTTTCCCTCATGTAAGTCCAGAGATATCTTAGCTAATTGTTTAAGAAAATCCATTCTATTCATTTTTATAGCTTTTATTGGACTACGAGTATGTAGGCATTTAATGCGCTTACAGCTAAAATTTGAAGAACACAGTCATACCCTAACGCTTTGTTCTTTAATAGAACAATAAAGTGAGTATTTATGGTGGACGGAATTTACAACAACTTTTATGATGTTATAAGTTAATATAACTTCTACCTTACTTGTGACAGAATTAACTTTTTAGTCACAAATATCCATCTCCAAAATGTCTAACATTGTTTTCATTTTGGGCTTCTACAAAATTACTTTCGTTGTCTTTTACTAGGCAATTGTTGGTAATATCGATACAATCACTATTAACCACGTTTACCATACTTGGTCCTGCCATTGTATAATCTGCCATTGTAAGTAAATGTTTCGCTTGAAAAATAAAACCTAAAAAAAAATTACTTACGTAATAATATTGGTTTTTTAGTTAAGTGAAAAACTTACATTTCTAGCTTTCCAAATGACACCCGCTTTATACTAGTTTTAGTATTACAATATAAGACCACATTTGAGATTCCATTTCTTTAGAATTCTAGCCCTTCTAGAAGTACCCGTACTTTTGGCCTGAGAAGTAGCTAGATATATAAAACTAGTCATGTATGCTTGCATTGCAAGGCTTGCAAGTATTATGTCTGTAGTTTTAAAATTGTGTTTCATTCTGTGTGAGATATTTTAAGCTTACTTTTTCTCTTCAAAAACACACCCGCAATATGTATATAGATATGTTTTTTCCTAATATTATATAAGAAAACTAAAAATTATTTAAAATGTTTGATTAATTTTAAGTTTTATATGATAAAACTTAAAATTAATTAGCTTTAAAATAAATGCATAAAGTTGTATTTATCTGTTATATTTCCCGCGTTATAAATAAAAATGTGAAAATCAGACGGTTTTTGGATGTTTCAACTTTGAGGCCCCATAACTCGAGAACAAGGGTTAAAGGGAAAATGCTGCTTTTAAAAATAATTTATGGATACTTACTCCACTATATTCATATACGAAATTATTTCAAGGATTCTACATTCAGGATGAACGACTTATGGTGCCTTTATGATATTAAAAAAAATTTAAAGATGGGTTTACATTATGCTTGATTTTAAGAGTAAATTATGTTTTTTTTTTTCTACTAGGTGAAGAAATCTCGAAAGACGAAGAAAGGCGGCTCTATCTGCCTTTTTCCTCGGACAATGGGGGAGCGTGACTCCTACCCTAAAAAATCACCTAAATTCTGAACTGATAAAACTGGTCCTACAGATCAACTATTACCTCCGCGCTTACTTGGTTTTTCCGTGCAGGAATTAAATACCTTCCATAAGGAAATTGGTATTTCGTGTTAAATCGAATGGTCTTGTTCGTTTAAGTCTTTGTGTCATAACGCCATTGTCTAGCAGCCGAACTGGTTCCATATTTACATGCTGTTTTAGACGAACCCTATGCTTTGTAGCACAACTCCTAATTTCATCCACAACCAAAGGAATTTCTAAGTCCCTGTGGATATCACTGTTAACCATATACCATGGCGCATTTACCATGCCCCGTAGAACTTTATTCTGGAAGGTCTTTTAATTTCACATTTTGTTAATGTGAGTCTTTGTGGCACAACTCAACAGTTGAGTGCCATATCGCCATATTGGTTAAATGATTTGGCTATAAATTAATATCTTATTATCAATTGCCAAATTGAACTTACGACCTAGGAGCCAATAACTTCCTCTATATTTATTTTCTAATTCTATGTGTTTCTTCTTTATATGCTCTTTCCACCTTAGCTTAAAATCTAAAGTCATTCCTAGGTATTTTGCTGAGTTATAGATCGCAACGTTTGTTCCATTTACATTAATTTGTGGTGGATTTACTATTTTCCGATAGGTGAAGTTTATGTGAACCGATTTTGCTTCATTCAACTTCACCCTCCAATCTCTATCGTCAGCAAAAGTGGTTATCGTAGCATTTTCTATTTGTGCCAAATCACTCGTGTAAATCAGGTACAACGTTTGGCCCAATATACTGCCTTGAAGCACACCTGCCTTTATTTCTCTTAGCGTGGAGTATTCAGCATCTTGTTTAATTCTAAATAATCTATCAGCTATGTAAAATTTCTAAATTTCTACAAATGACGATGGTAACATTTGCCGCAAATTAAGTTTAAGGACTTTGTGCCATACCCTGTCAAATGCCTGTGCTACGTCTAGAAACATAGAAGACCAGATTT